TGATTCCCTCAGAGGAGTTTTCGCTGCAGTATTCCACAGTTGACAACGCATTTGATGCAATCATTGCAACAGGGATTGGTGCCTGGCTCAGTAATGCCTTCAAATTGATATCCATTCAACCAGCTCTATGACATCTGCACGGTATCAAATGGAAGGGTGTATACTACTTTTTCACAAGACTCCCCTTCGGGTCGAAAAGCAGCCCTAAGATTTTTGACACCTTCGCTGAGACCTTGTGTTGGCTTCTATTGAACACATGCAGGTTCTATACAGGTATCCATTACCTGGATGACTTTCTGGTTATTGAGAACAATTCTTCTCCCCCAGGCAACTTAAACAAAACAATTAAGCTATTTGATTCCTTGGGCATACCAGTTTCTCCCAGCAAAACTGAAGGTCCCGACACCATAGTTAGTTTCCTGGGTATTCACCTCGATTCTGTGGCCATGGAAGCCAGCCTCCCGTTAGATAAAATAAGTCATATCATACATATCATCAACCAATACACTCAAGTTGGTTCTTGTAATCGCAAGGAGTTACAATCACTGTTGGATTCCCTGAATTTTGCCACACAAATTATACTGCAGGGTAGAGCCTTTATCTCCAGACTCCTTAGCCTACTGCACGGTTTTTCCAACAACAATAGTCATATCTCTCTCAATCCACATGCCACAGCTGACCTTCTCATGTGGAGGGAATTTCTGTTGCACTGGAAAGGGAAGAGCAGGTTTTTTCTTCAGTTGTCGTGTACTCCCCCTTCATTTGGACGGATGATGCAGCCACCACTGGTATTTCAGCCATATTTGGCGATCAGTGGCTCTGGGGTAGTTGGCCAGTGGACGTGCAGGATATTTCAATCAGGTAAGTAGATAGTTCTACTGCAATTTGCATTATTTGTAGTATATTCTATTGTAGCTGCGACAGTGGCATGGGGCCCATTAAGGGCTGGCTGCTCAGTACCATGCTTTTTCGATAACCTAGCCACTTGACATATCATTAACAAAAAGCGTTCATCCTCGCTGGCTATTATGAGTTTCATTAGGAGACTGACTTGGTCAGAAGCCTGTAACCATTTTTATTTGGTTTGTTGCCATGTTCCTGGAGTTTTTAATACCGCAGCTGACCAGCCGCAGGGGGACTGCCTGGGATGCCAGGCAAGTCCCCACATCGCGATCACCAGCAATCAGGTAAGTAGATCGTTTGCCGCGGACGTACCAGGTACATCATTTTTTGTCGGACATACCTGGTACGTCCGCGGTCAGGAAGGAGTTAAAAGGAACTCCACTGCCCAAATACAAAATAAATAAAAATTGCTGTTTAGTAGATTTACCTCAAATGTATCTAAAAACAGCTTGCAAAACAAGCAGTTCACTTATCTTCACAAACCCTCTCCTTTTAAACCAGCCCAGACTTTCTGTAGGTTTCCAATCACAGACATCCCAATGCGACACAAGAAGTCTTTGCAAGGTAGGTACTCTGAACCATTGAGTTTAACTTCACGGAGATAAAAAAAGCAAAAACACAGTAACAGGACCAGTTGTAAATGTGTCAATTTCAATTAAAATCTGCATTTTTTGCAAAATGAAAAAAAAGAAGAAATTTTTTACACATAAAACTTTTCGGTACGCTAAAGTGCTTTAGGTGTCGGTAGTGTCCCTTTAAGTGCATGTGGCCTCACTTAAATGGATTTTGGCCTCATGTTCATTTGCTGTGTTTTTCTCCTGTGGTTTTGCAATTTTTTGTAGCATAACCTGGTATCTACAAACTTTTTTTTTTTAACTTTTTTATGCAAACTATTGAGATGTGATTGGGGGGAAAAAAAGCATTATTAAGAGTGCAATATTTATCAAAATTTGCTCAAAGTAATAGTGCTCCCAGTATGACTGGAGTGTCTTTTTAAGTTCCGCTCATTGCCAAAGATCACACTCTCCATAAGAAATGAAGAAAAAAAAATGCCTAGGAGAGGGTGGAAAAAAAAAAAAGAAAGAGGGATTTATCTAAAAACAAAACCTGCAAAGTGACACTGCCAGTTAAAGCAGGTTTTCATCACCCTATAAATAATAATGTGTGCCCAGATAACGCAAACAGACAGATAATACATATAGACAGAACAAGCTCAGACTATTTTGCTTTTATTGTGCCGTGCTAGTCTGAATCATTTCCTTTTTCGTAGAGAAAACAGCACCTTTTTAAGAGTGAGAGAAACTAATCCTATAAAAGGAGCTCTGGCAGCAGGAGATTGTGGAATGTTAAAGTTTATACAGAGGGAGTGCAAAGCCTGCACAGATAGACAACAGCAGCAAATCGCTGTCCCATACATTGTACATTGTATTGAACTGCAAAACACCCACTCATTTAAAGTCCACAAGGTAATGGATGTCAGCGCCTGTACAGTTTAAAGGAACACTATAGTCACCTAAATTACTTTAGCTAAATAAAGCAGTTTTAGTGTATAAATCATTCCCCTGCAATTTCATCGCTCAATTCACTGTCATTTAGGAGTTAAATCACTTTGTTTTTGTTTATGCAGCCCTAGCCACACCTCCCCTGGCTATGATTGACAGAGCCTGCATGAAAAAATAACTGGTTTCACTTTCAAACAGATGTAATTTACCTTAAATAATTGTATCTCAATCTCAAAACTTTACGTTAATTACATACAGGAGGTTCTTGCAGGGTCTAGCAAGCTATTAACATAGCAGGGGATAAGAATATCTTAATTAAACAGAACTTGCAATAAAGAAAGCCTAAATAGGACTCTCTTTACAGGAAGTGTTTATGGAAGGCTGTGCAAGTCACATGCAGGGAGGTGTGACTAGGGTTCTTAAACAAAGGGATTTAACACCTAAATGGCAGAGGATTGAGCAGTGAGGCTGCAGGGGCATGTTCTATACACCAAAACTGCTTCATTAAGCTAAAGTTGTTCAGGTGACTATAGTGTTCCTTTAAAAGTGGATTGAGTAAGATTATGAGGATTAAATCAATATATTACTGCTTGTGTAGTAATATGTTGATTAATCATCTGGCACTGAAAGAGTTCTTAATTAATTAAAATAATTTTAGGAAGAACTGACAAATTAATCATTATCAATACCCACGTTGTACAGGGATAAGCAAGAAGATAAAAAAAATTTTTTTAAATATATTTCATAATATTCAGCAGTTATGTTATTTTTAGTAAACAATGTTGCATTTGTCAACATTTTAAATTATTCAGAAAGAAAAGAAAAAGTGAAGCAAAGATAACCTTGACAAATTTACACCCATTCAATTTAAAGAGATTACCAGTATGTGAAAAAGTAAAGCACATCAATGGTCAAATAAGAAATGTGAATCCCTTAACAAAAGGGACACTGACAATGTCATTTGTCATTTAGTTTTCCTTTCATTATGCTCCTTGTATCTTAAATGGACACTATAGTCAACCACACCACTTCATCTCAATAAGGTGGTCTGGGTGCAGTATTCCGGTCCTTTGAATCCTGCAACATTGCAGTATTAATTTTTTTCCAGCAACGGCAATGTTTACACCAAACCAACTCTGGCTTAATGGAGTGGTTTTGGTGTATAGATCATGCTCCTGCATTCTCTCTGCTCAATTCTCTGCCATTTAGGAGTTAATTCACCTTGTTTATGCAGCAGTAGTCACATCTCCCTGTATGTGACTTACACAGCCTTCATTAACATTTTCCATAAAGAAAGATATAATGTTTAAACTTTCTTTATTGGATATTCTGTTTAATTTAGAAGAATCATTTTGTGTAACATATAAAGTATACTTTAAAACATATAAAGTAAGTTAAGATCTCATTTAACATTAAATATTTATTTTCATGCAGGCTGTGTCAGTCACAGCCAGGGGAGGTGTGGCTAGGGCTGCATAAACAGAAACAAAAGTCATCTAACTAAATGGCAGAGAATTGATCTATACACCAAAACTACTTCATTAAGCAAAAGTTATTTTAATTCTTATAATGAGGCTTTACGTTTAACCTGTAGTGATTGTCAAGCTGACAGCCGCAATAGGTGCTTCTGCTGCACTAACAGAGTAAAACTTGGCAAACGTGACATGGAAACACACAGAAAAGCATTGTATACAACACTTTAACGTGGGGAACCTTAGGTCCTCAATGCTTCTCTATGAGGATCATTAGATCTGGAGGAAGATAGCTAACCTGAACAGTAAGTAAATAATTTATTTATTTTATTGTAAACGGAATGAGCTTATATAAATCTAGAAACATAGACACTATATTTTTTTAAATACAAATCTGTATTTTTTTGTTTTAATTATTCCTAATGCTACAGTGTTACTTTGATAATTATACTCCACCATCCGCCACTTGCCTTCATTTATATTTATTATTTTTTCTATTGTCCTCAAGAGCCAGAGACCTGCATTTTGATTTTTGCCTATGACTTCTATAGTTTTCCCTTACTTGTCAATTGAAAAGGAACCTTCCTTGAGTTCTGCACATTGCCAAAGATCATTGATCATGCACTACATCCGGAGTGCCCGAAAGCTAGATCCCCAGATGTCTTAGAACCACAACTCATATGATGCTTTGCATGCTTTTAGAATGACAAAGCATCACGGTAGTGGTAGTTTTAAAATATCAAGGGATCTACCTTTTGGGCACCTCTGATCTACATTAAAAAAAAAGTAGTATACTTAAATGAAGGTTAATAGGGGGACAAAAAACATGACATTGTTGCTATAAGAATTATAGGAGATGTATAGTTCAGTTTTAGAGGACTGTAACAGAAAGTGATTTCAACTACACAGCTGATCTTTCATTAGCCTAAAGCAGTGATTGCGAACCTTTTTGAGCCCGAGTGCCCAAACCGTAATACATGCCAAATTTTTTTCCCTCAAAGTGCCAAAACGGCAATTAAACCTGAATACTGAGGTTTAAGTTTAGAAAAAACAACTCATACAGTTGTCCAAACTAATTAACATCTCTGTGTGTGTATTTAGCAGTCTGTCTGTGTGTACTTAGCAGTCTGTCTGTGTACTTAGCAGACTGCTGAGTACACAGTCTGCTGAATACACAGACTGCTAAGTACACACACACACACACACACAGACTGCCGAGTACACACACACACAGACACACACACAGACTGCTGAGTGTACACACACACACACACACACACACAGACTGCTGAGTGTACACACACACACACACACACAGACTGCTGAGTGTACACACACTGCATTGAGGGGTACATTGTATGTGTTTGTGTGTGTGGGGTGATGTGTTTGTGTGTGTGTGGGTGGGGTGATGTGATGTGTGGGTGTCTTTGTGTGGGGTGATATGTGTAGGGCAGGGGTGCTGTGTGTATGTCGTCCCCCCTCTCCCCCGTCCCACACTCCGTTTTCTCCCCCTATACCTCCCTCAGTTCCCCCCCATAACTCTCGCCCTCAGTTTCCGTCCCATCTCTCCCACTCAGTTCCCCCCCCCATATCTCTCCCTCAGTTTCCCCCCCATCTCTCTCCCACTCAGTTTAGCCCCCCCATCTCTCTCCCACTCAGTTTAGCCCCCCCATCTCTCTCCCACTCAGTTTCCCCCATCTCTCTCCCTCAGTTTCCCCCATCTCTCTCCCTCAGTTTTCCCCCATCTCTCTCC